CTTTCTCTCCTCTCTCTCTCTCTCTCTCTCTCTCTCTCTTTCTTTCTCTCCTCTTTCTCTCTCTCTTTCTCTTTCTCTCCTCTTTCTTTCTCTCTTTCTCTTTCTCTCTCTCTCTCTCTCTTTCTCTCCTCTTTCTCTCTCTCTCTCTTTCTCTCTCTCTCTCTTTCTCTCTTTCTCTCTCTTTCTCTCCTCTTTCTTTCTCTCTCTCTCTCTTTCTCTCCTCTTTCTTTCTCTCTTTCTCTTTCTCTCTCTCTCCTCTCTCTTCCTCCCCCACCCCTCTCTCTCTCTGTCTCACAAGGCTCCAATACCAGCTTTGGGGCAATGAGTACTTTTGGCCTCCATTCCAAGTCTAAAAGGCCAGCCCTCTCCCTCCAGAGCCTCCCACCTGATTTGTTAGTCTCATTGGTCTACCCAAGGAAGGGTGCAGAACTGGGTGTCCCTGGGCCTCTCAGAACCCAGCTCAAAGGCAGCAAAGAATCTCATGCTCGCTCTACCCTGAGCCGAGTCTACATAAGCAGGCTTGCCCTATTTTTTTGCTCCTGAGGACCTGGTCACACTAGCCTGAAACTGACTAGCTTGTGTGGCTGGAATGGTGTGGGTCATGCCGCGTGAACCAGGAGGAGATGTATGTGTGTCTGTGTGTGTAGATGCTGCCTGAGTCGTGTTGGTGTCAAAAGCACATGAATTTCATTGTTTAAATGTTTTATTATATAAACAGTGTGCACAGGGACCATATCCCCTTGTCATGTTATCTGTGATTATAAAACACGCATTTGCAATAAATTAASCTCTCTGGGAACACCGGCAAGCAGTATTGGAGCCAAATGAATGTCTTGGAACGTGAGTGTTATCTCAGGTCACATCAAGTCCAAAGCCAACTGAGACCTTCCCTACCCTCCTGGCTTTGTGGGGAGGGACACAGGAACTCTTCTTGCTCCTTCTTAGAGCTGCATTTTAAGGTCACCCTGAAGTTCCTGTCCTCTGCTTGAAAGTGCTGTGTTCTAAAAGACGGCTTGACGTTTCCATTGTTGCTTTATGTTTTTTAAAAAATATATCTGCTTTATGTTTGGAAATAAAAATTTCTATTTTGTTCTATGAAATATGGTGTGGTTTGGAAACTCTTTTTTTGGGGGGGGGGGTCCTGTAGTACACGGGTTTATCTCAAGGGCTATGAGGAGAAAGGGGGTGTGTGGCTTATCTTGACATGCTCACCTCCAGACAGGATTAGTGCCTCACTGCGCAGGGCTGAACTCAAGGTGACCGCGGCCCTCTAGCCAACATAAGCATCGCCAGTCCCTGGGAGTATCTTCAGAAACATTCCCAGGGTCTCCCAGACCTCCTCCATCAAGGTCCCCAGGGGTGGGCTCCGGGAACTTGGAAAATTCCAAAATGCACACTGAGTAGAGAGACCCTGAATAGACCCAGGCACCAGGGGTCAATGTCCACCATGACAATTTGTTTAACAAACAGTCTGACAATTTGTTCTCCCAGCCCACAGTGCAGTGTAACCTGCAAATAAGAGCAGGAAGGACATTGTCAGAGGACGGGAGGGCGGGAGGCACTGTCCTCAAGTTCATGGCCCTGCCACATGTTAATGGAGTCTCCTGATGATGGCCATGGCTGACAGCCCTGACCCAGCAAGGAAAGCAGGGCGTGCGCTCAGAATCTTCTGCTTACAAAAGCTCAGGGGTGAGGAATTAAAATAAATTTTTACCACTTGTATCAATTGTTCCCCAGCATGAGATTTCTTTTTTAATTTGCCGTTATTTTAATGGTGCCCATGATACCTTCCCCAAGGTTCTCCCTGTGGTATCTGTTATCTTCAAAACCCTTCTTGCCCCATGAGAAGAAAGAGAGAAGGGTCCCCTGGGCAAAACATGGCATCTGTCACCTCTTCCACTTAGGTGGCTGGTAAAGGCATAGGCCAAGATTTCATCTTCACATTGATCCACGTGGTCCTGAACTGCAGGCGATGAAGACTGAACCTTCTAGATCCAACAGGAGCTGCAGTGGTGCGTGCCCTGGAGTCAGACCCATGCATGTTCATCCTGAGCACTCAGCTCCGTGCAACCTTCCTGCAGAGGGACAGCAGAGGATGGGGAGGGGCCTGGTTTTCCCAGGCCAGCCATGGGCAAGGGCAGGTGACGTGGTGAAGTCATCTGTACTGCAGCTCATACGGCAGGTGAAAGAAGGGATTCCACCCAGTGTTTGCAGATTCCCCTGTCTGAAGTCTTAGAGGAGCACCAAATACCCTCCAGAAACCTCTGTGAGTCTTATGGCCCTGAAAGAGGAGGCCCCTCACCTTCTAATTACTTGTTCAAAACATTAAAACATTCTAGGAAGAAAGATGCAGCTTTGCCCACAGGGCCCCCTGCCCCTAGGCCTGTACAGAATGGGTCAGGGCATTGCCACGCTGATTTAAGCAGCGTCTGTTCATAGACGACATAACAGTGTGCGTGTTTGTTTTCCTACAGTGGAAAAATCAGAAGCTGGGGCAGGAACTTCAGTGTGAAAACACTGTTTCATCAGAAAACTGGATCCAGCCTCTCTCGTTTTCATTTGGCACCTCTCGGGCCCTCGGCTGGCTGAGAAAGTCACATTAAACACACACAAATGTCTTCTCAATCCTTGTGGAGCCTCTCCTATTCCCGGCGAACTGAGTCATTTTTATGACTATGAGATTTTTTTTTTTCCACAACCAGGAATCCCATGGAAACCATTATGCTGCCTCTGTTTTCACCTGGGCCTTCCAAACCCAGCGGTGGCAGGTTTAACTGGGGAGATTCATCATCTTCTAGTGGAAGCCCCTTGCTGAGAACTGTCCTGTCACCGTCTCACCAGCCCTGCCTCCCACAGCAGTGACCTTTGGCAGCCTGCTTCCCCCGATTAGGCTTTCAGGGGAGAGACCCCCACTTGCCTGGGGCACCCGGGGCTGGGTGTCATGTGGCAGTTGCTCTCTGGCCTGCCCTCCGCATGCTGCTCCAACTTGCTCTTCACTGTGGCTTTCTGCTGCCAGTGTCCTCCACGTGGACATGAGGGGAAATCGCTCTAAATCGTCCTGCAGCATAGGCTGCCTCATATTGCAAATGCACTTCCCGGCCTTGAGCATGTGCAAATCATCCCAGCCCTTTTCTGTTGGAATGAGGTGATGGGATTCAAAGAGAAAAGTTAAAAAAAAATGTCATGTGGTATCTTGGGTTGCATTTTGGAACAGTAAAGGATATTAAAGTA